CACCATGCCCAGCTAATTTTTTTTTTTTGTATTTTTAGTAGAGACGGGGTTTCACCATGTTGACCAGGATGGTCTCGATCTCTTGACCTCGTGATCCACCCGCCTCGGCCCCGCAAAGTGTTGGGATTACAGGCTTGAGCCACCGCGCCCGGCTGATTTTTTCTTTTTTAAACAGCTGTAGTTTTTGGCCAAAAATTTTTTTGACTGGTCAATGATGTAAATAACATAGAGAAAAATGAACTGAGTCATTAGGCCCACCATTCCTGTGTTTTTAGATATTTAGAGAAGAGCCAAACAAACAAGCTTCCTCTTTAGAAAAAGAGTAGTGAATCACATAGATTTGATCAGACAAGATATAATTGCAGAAAGGGCACCTCTCAGTTTTATAGAAACCTCCTGTGATTTGAACAAGGGTATGTTAGAAACCAAATCAATTACAACGGTACCTTAATTGTTAGTCTCAATTATGTAGGCTACATTATACAGAGTTAAAGACGTCGTGTTAAACCAGTTACTTTTTATTGTACCAGATACTATATTTTGCTAAACTTTTTCCCAACCTCCAATTCTGGGAAGACACCATCAGTATAGACATAGAAATAATTGTGATTAATTATACCCTACTTTTAATAAACCAAACTGAAAATGTTCTGTAAGTCATATTTTTGATTGCCCATAGTGCTCTTGGTCCCATTTCCCATGGACAGGTAAAGACATTTCTATTGTCATTGTTGTCATTCTTATTTTATTGTTATTGAGATGCTGGAGGCTTGTGATTTAAAGTTGACCCCATTCAGCAGAGGATTTAGAACAAAAGATTATAAATTAGAAGTGCTAGCATGTTTTTCTCTGTTAAAGTATTTGTGGTCTACTCATTTATCTCTTCTAATTTCTCCTACTAGTCTTGGCTAACAGCTTATACCGTGTAATACTAAATTTAACTCCAGAGTCCACACAAATGGCTATTGCTGCCATTTGACATGAATAAATCCTCTTTTGTCACCAATCTTTGCAGGTTTAAAGAAGCGAACAAGCGAAGACCCCGAAGTTTACTGGAGAAACTGCGTTGGGTGACCCTAGGCTACCATTATAACTGGGACAGTAAGGTATTCAGATTTTCTTAATTGTTTGATTTTCTGTTTATAGGCTTCTTTAGCCCATATAATTGTACTTCTTCCTGGCCACGCTTAAGGTATCAAGATTATGTATTTGTGGGATGATCCATTTATTTTATTTCCTTAAAAAATCTCTATTGAGCCAGGGGCCATAGCTCATGCCTATAATCCCAGCACTTTGGGAGGCCAAGGTGGGTGGATCACTTAAGGTCAGGAGTTTGAGAACAGCCTGGGCAACATGGCGCAACCCCGTCTCTACAAAAAATAGAAAGTTTACCAGGCCTGGTGGTGCACGCCTGCAGTCCCAGCTACTCAAGAGGCTGAGGTGGGAGGATTACTTGGGCCCAGGAGGTGAAGGTTGCAGTAAGCCAAGATCGCACCACTGCACTCCAGCCTGGGTGACAGAGCAAGACTTTGTCTCAAAAAAGGAAAAAAAAAAAAGTCTCTCCAGGTATATCAAGAGAGTGAATTTTATTATATCAGAAGTTACCAGTGCTTTCTCACAGTAGGTTCCAGGAATATTAAACTGTTTTCAAGAGCAGTTTTACCATCTTTATTTCCATTATTGGTGAGAGTTTATTGAGCATATATTTTTCTTTCTTTCTTTTCTTTTTAATTTTGTTATGCAACAAAAGCCACATTCAGGAGCATTTATTTTTCTTTTTTGAGACGGAGTCTCACACTGTTGCCCAGACTGGAGTGCAATGGCCCAACCTCAGCTCACTGCAACCTCTGCCTCCCGGGTTCCAGCAATTCCCCTGCCTCAGCCTCCCAAGTAGCTAGGACTATAGGCACACACTACCATGCCCAACTAATTTTTATATTTAGTAGAGACGAGATTTCACCATATTGGCCAGGCTGGTCTCGGATTCCTGACCTCATGATCGACCCGTCTTGGCCTCCCAAAGTGCTAGGATTATAGGCGTGAGCCACCATGCCCAACCGAGCATTTATTTTTCTACATAATATCTGCCTGGAGTAAAAAAAACCTCCATATATTTCAATCCTTCTAATTTATCAACTCACAGAAGAACTTTTAATATCTGGGTATTGATCACACTCAATGGCTCACACCCTTAATCCCAGCACTTTGGGAGGCCAAGGCACTAAGATCACTTGAGCTCAGGAATTTCAGACCAGCCTGGGGCATCATAGTAAAACCCCATCTCTATAAAAAATAGAAAAATTAGCCAGGTGTGGTGGTGCACACCTGTGGTTCCAGCTCCTCAGGAGGCTAGGGAAGGAGGATCACTTGAGCCTGGGAGGCGGAGATTACCGTGAGCCAGGATCCCACCACTACAGTCCAATGGGGTGACAGAGCAAGACCCTGTCTCAAAAAAAAAAAAAAAGAAATATGGATACCTTTGCCTGCTATATAATGTCTAGGAAGGAAGGGGGTGGGAAAGAATTTCATGCAGTTGACAGTTTCATGTTTTCTTGAGATACAATTTCAATTTCTTCTTTCCTGCCCTCTATGCTTTAAAAATGCTTTGTCACTAGTAGTGCAGTGCCTCTTGTCTCAACTAGACATTTGCCACCAAGTGGATATACTGATTCTAAGAATAAAATGAATAAAACATATTGGTATAGATAATTTTCTTTGCCTGCTAACCAGTTACTTGTCTTTGTCTTTCTTTCTTTCTTTTCTTTTTTTTTTTTTTTTTTTTTTTTTTTTTTTTTTTTTTTTTTTTTTGTAATGGTCTTATACTGTCACCTAGGCTGGAGTGCAGTGGCACAATCACTGTAGCCTCATCTGCCCCAGACTCAGGTGATCCTCACACCTCAGCCTCCCACTAACCAGTTACTTCTAAAAAGCTCCGCTGTTTCAGCCAACCCAACTTATTAACAGCTATTTTAACTGCTCCAAATAATAACAGATTTGCTTTAAAAATATATGTGATATAATTCTTACTTTCAGCGATACAGAGTCAGTCGGAAACTAGATATTTGTGTTGGGGAAATGCCGTGTGATATTCTTTGGATTAGGTAGCCTGGGTTGGAATCTTTCCTCCAGAAATGGTAGTGCCTACCTCATAAGGCAGTTGTGAAAATTCAGTGTGATCAGTGCCTGTAAAGTGATTTCAGTGGTGCCTGGCTATTCTAAGCAGTTAAATGCATTTAGCACAATAAATGTTAACTTTTTTTTTTTTTTTTGGTGATAATATTTTTATTGTTGATACTGTTATTTCCAAAGACCTCAAAGTTTACCTCATTGACTAAGAAAAAGAGGGAGTGGCCAGGCGCGGTGGCTCAGGCCTGTAATCCCAGCACTTTGGGAGGCTAAGGCGGGCAGATCACAAGGTCAAGAGATCAAGACCATCCTGGCCAACATGGTGAAACCCAGTCCTTTTAAAAAAATAAAAATAAAAAAATAATTTAAAAAAAAAATGGAAAAAAATTACCAAAAACTCTCAGTGAGTAGTCAGAGAAAAGTCAATGAGAATTTTAAAAGAATAGTAGTGAGTAATGCAGAGACAGTTTGGACAGGGTTGAAAACCCAAAAGGGTGATTATTTCTTTATAGCAAAGGCTATCTGGAGCTAGAATGATAGCCCTGACTGGTTGGTTATCTGAAGGACTAAAGCTTAAGATGATAGAGAAAACCTTAAGGTTCTCTAACCACACTTGGAGTTTTCAGAAATTAAATAAGAACTCTTATTTGCAGTTCAGTGAAAGGAGAAAAAAATAAAAAACAGAAAAGTTCCAACCGAAGAGTCCAGGCCATTCGTCAAAAGTCTTCCTTAACACCTGAAGCTAAAGGTCACTTCTGGCCAAAGCAAATACTTTCTGTCCAGACCTGTGACTCTGCTGCTCCAGCTAGAATACATCCAGACACTACTGGAGATATGATACAAAAGTGGATTTTCTGATCAGATTTGAGGTTAATTTAGCAAAGAAAGAAGTGAGAGCATGGCCGAGTGCAGCGTCTCATGCCTGTAATCCCAGCACTTTGGGAGGCCGAGGCAGGCGGATCACAAGGTCAGGAGTTCAAGACCAGCCTGGCCAATATGGGGAAACCCCATCTCTATTAAAAATGCAAAAATTAGCCAGGCGTGGTGGCGTGCACCTGTAGTCCCAGCTACTCAGGAGGCTGAGGCAGGAGAATCGCTTGAACCAGGGAGGCAGAGGTTGCAGTGAACTGAGATCATGCCAGTGCACTCCAGCCTGAGCAACAGTGAGACTCTGTCTCAAAAAAAAAAAGAAGTGAGAGCAGAGGAGCATCAAGACAAAAGAAGAGTCTATCAGGTACCCGTAGCCCAAACAGCCCTCAGACTCATTTGCATAAGAAACTGTAAGTGAAAGTCTTAATCATAACTGTAGCCATGTCACTCATGCAGAAAAACTTTATAGAGAGTATTATGGCCAGGTCAGCCATAATGGCTCACACCTGTAATCCCAGCACTTTGGGAGGCTGAGCGGTGTAAATCACTTGAGGTCAGGAGATCCTTAGGTGTTAAAAACAGAGGCAATTCAGGGAAGTAAGTTCAAGAAATCACTTCTAATTTAAAGGCCTGCTTTGGCCATGCTAATAAGCGAGAGGTAATTTTTTTTTTTTTTTTGATGGAGTTTTGCTCTTGTTGCCCAGGCTGGAGTGCAGTGGTGCAATCTCAGCTCACCAAAACCTCCGCCTCCCAGGTTTAAACGTTTCTCCTGTCAGCCTCCCGAGTAGCTGGGATTACAGGCATGCACCACCATGCCTGGCTAATTTTGTGTTTTTAGTAGAGACAGTGTTTCTCCATGTTGGTCAGGCTGGTCTCGAACTCCTGACTTCAGATGATCCGTCGCCTGCTTCAGCCTCCTAAAGTTTTAGGATTACAGGTGTGAGCCACCGCGCCCAGCCTGATTCTGAGGTTTTGAACATGTCATCCCATCAGATTGACCAGTCAAATTGGCACTAAACTGTGTTGCAAGCTGAGAGTCCAAAACTGGCTACACTATTTGAGTTGCCTTTTTATAAATTAACTTTTTAGTTTAGGATAGTTTTAGATTTGCAGAAAAGTTGCGAAGATACTACAGAGAAATCCTATGCCCTCCTCCCATTATTAACATCTTACCTTGTATGGTACCTTTGTCTCAAGTAGTTAAGCAAAGTAATATATTACTATAATAATGGCATTGTATGTCATTTAGATTTCCTTAGTTTTAAACTATTTTTTTTAATATCTAATTTTCTAATATCCAGGATCATCTTACCAGGGTACTACATTTTATATATACATTTGAGATATATATATATATATATATATATATTTTTTTTTTTTTTTTTTTTACAAAGACGGGGTTTCACCATGTTGGTCAGGCTGGTCTTGAACTCCCGAGCTTAGGTGATCCTCCCGCCTTGGCCTTCAAAGTGCTTGGATTACAGGCGTGAGCCACCATGCCCAGCGTACATTATATTTAGTCATTGTGTTTTCTTGGGCACCTCGTGGCAGTGACAATTTTGAGTTGCCTTTTTACCCTAACAGAACTATCTTGTTTACAGTTAAAGGATTCTAACTAGAGGGGGGTGGAGTAATTGCTTCATGTATAGTCTCAATACAGTATATAGCACATTGCCTGTTACAGGTGCTTGGGTTTTTGAATGATTTATTATTAAATAATTGGATACCTCAAGAATGGATGGATAGGCCAGGCATGGTGGCTGACATCTGTAATCACAATACTTTGGGAGACTGAGGCAGGAGGATCGTTTGAGACCAGTTTAGGCAACATATTAAGACCTCTCTGCCAAAAAAAAAAAATTTAGCCAGGCATGGTGGCATGCATCTGTGGTCCTGCCTACCTACTTGAGAACTGAGTTAGGAGGATCACTTGAGCCCCGGAGGTCTAGGCTACAGTGAGCCGTGATCGTGACACTGGGCAACAGAATGAGACCCTGTCTTTTAAAAAAAAAAAAAAAAAAATGAGCCAGGCACTGTGGCTCATGCCTATAATCCCAACACTTTGGGAGGCTGAGGTAGACAGATCACCTGAGGTAAGGAGTTCAAGACCAGCCTGGCCAACATGGTGAAACCCCATCTCTACTAAAAATACAAAAAAGTAGCATGGCTATAATCTCAGCTACTCAGGAGGCTGAGGCAGGAGAATCGCCTGAACCCAGGAGGTGGAGGTTGTGGTGAGCCAAGATCTTACCATTGCGCTCCAGCCTGGGGGACAAGAGTGAAATTCCATCAAAAACAAAAGGTGGATCGATAATGCTGTGTTAATATGTTAGATTATTTTTAAGTGATAATTAATCTTATGCCACAGTTTCCTATATTCCTGAGATCATTGTGTATTTTTTTATTCTCTCTACATTTACCAAAGAAATACTCAGCAGATCATTACACACCTTTCCCTTCTGACCTGGCTTTCCTCTCAGAGCAAGTAGCCACTGCCTGTGGCTTTCAGGGTTTCCGAGCCGAAGCGGGGATCCTCAATTACTACCACCTGGACTCCACACTGGGCATCCACGTAGACAGATCGGAGCTAGATCACTCCAAACCCTTGCTGTCATTCAGGTGAGTTCGTTCCGGGGATTTGGGATTACTTTTTATCATGTAATTCTTTTTTCTAAGGCATTTTAACCTAAAATAAATACAGATATTTAACTTTTAAAAAAAATGGTTAGACTAAATCTTTCACTTCTGGGAATTTTAACAAATTATAGTTACTGTTTCCGTTTAAGACAGATGGAGCCTACCTTTTATCATGAGAAGTATTGTCAGTGCTTTGTGGGATAGACAAGTGGAAGGCCAGAAAAGCAAAGTGCTTTGCCTTTGGAAAAAGTGCTTTGCTTATTCCATTGGAATAGAAGAGCAAAACAGAGAGCAAAGCACAAAAGCCTGAGTAGTTTACTCTCCTTGTCTCCCTAAAAGTAAATTTGTGCCAAGTGGCCAGGCGCGGTGGCTCACGCCTGTAATCCTAGCACTTTGGGAGGCCGAGGTGGGTGGATCACCTGAGGTCAGGAGTTCAAGACCAGCCTGGCCATCATGGTGAAACCCCATCTTTTAAAATAAATAAATAAATAAACTTGTGCCAAGTTTTGTACCTGTATCTCAGCAAAGTGCCTTTTATTAATTGCTTCATAATGAGGAATGATAAACATAGTAAAGAACTCATGGTTTTATTGAAAGACTCAAAGATGCATCAATAGCTCATGCCTGTAATCCCAGCACTTTTGGAGGCTGAGGCAGGTGGATCACTTGAGGTCAGGAGTTCGAAATTAGCCTGGCCAACATGGTAAAACCCCATCTTTACTAAAATACAAAAATTAATCAGGCATGATGACGCACACCTATAATCCCAGTTAATCTGGAGGCTAACGCATGAACCCAGGAGACAGGTTGCAGTGAGCCAAGATCGCACCACTGCACTGTAGCCTGAGTGACGGAGTAAGATGATCTAAAAAAAAAATCAATAAAACTTAAATGGATAATGTTAAAGCTGAGTTCTCCATTTGCTTATTTAACTGCATCAAATTTTATTTTGCAGCAGTTCTGTGGGCTGTCATAAGTATAGGTAGAAGGACATGAGTTGGTCACTCAGACACAAGGCAGAAGAGAAGGATCTTAGCACTGTTTAAAAAGGAGGATTTGGGAGCAATAAATGTCAATCTGAAATTAGAAAATAATACAGTTGGCAGTAACTTTCCCAGTCATGGTTAATAAACAAAACTTACTGTTGTGTGTTGTGTTGTTTTTACTTATTTTTTGTAGCTTTGGACAGTCTGCCATCTTTCTCCTGGGTGGTCTCCAAAGGGATGAGGCCCCCACGGCCATGTTTATGCACAGTGGTGACATCATGATAATGTCCGGTTTCAGCCGCCTGTTGAACCACGCCGTCCCTCGTGTCCTTCCAAATCCAGAGGGGGAAGGCCTGCCTCACTGCCTAGAGGCACCTCTCCCTGCTGTGCTCCCCAGAGATTCCATGATAGAGCCCTGTTCTGTGGAGGACTGGCAGGTGTGTGCCAGCTACTTGAAGACTGCTCGTGTTAACATGACTGTTCGACAGGTGCTGGCCACAGACCAGAATTTCCCTTTAGAACCCATTGAGGATAAAAAAAGAGACATCACTACAGGAAGCTTCTGCCATCTGGATGACCAGCACACCCAAGTAAAACGGGCCAGGATAAACCCTGACAGCTGAGACTTGGAGATCCCATCCTTTTACTCAGGCACCTGCTTACCGTAAATGACCATATTATTATGTATTGCCATGAACTTCAGCACCCAGGCAAGCCAAAAACAGAGACAGGGAAGAACTCATCGTTGATCACACTGTTGCCCTGGAACCCATGCAGAAGTAAATGCATTAGCCACTTTGCTCAGAGAAGTGTTTGACATGGTCTGATCCTAGTTACGTGTTGCCTCTAATGTACGTTGAGAAATCAGTCCAAGGAGATATGTTCTTCCACAGCAGCCTTCTCAGCCTCTCCCATTTCCATTGAGGGAGGTAGAAGTGAGTTTCCGTGTCTACAGAGTCTTTAGATACCTCAGATTTTATTAATGGGAAATATAGCACCCCTCCCTCCACTGCATCTGGTAATTTATGGTAAAATTGTGGTTCCGTGAACCATATTAGTCTCATCTTCCTAACTCCCTCAGTCATCAAATTCTTTGATCTCTTTGATCTTCTCTGGCTCTCACAGAAGAATCCTTTACGCTTGAAAACAATGGAACTGGAAAATCTTGTCTCTTAGAAAAGAAGCTAATCACAACTATCTCTCTGGCCTAAAAAATATATGTGAACCCAGGGCAAGAGGAATTTAGTTTTTCCACTTGTCATTTCGGTCTCCAAACTCCCTGTTGTCTTTTTAATGCAATTTTAATTGTTGGAATAAAAAAGTCCCAAGGGCCTTTTGTTACTGTTTTCTCCATGAGTAAACTCACTTGATTTTAAATTAAAGATCTATATCGGTCTTTGAGGTTTAGTCTATCTGGGATTAAGGTTTTCTTCCTGTTTTTCTTTGCTGTATTGTTCATGCTGTGGAAGCCGTCTAGCTGTGTCTGCCCTACACCATCCTGATCTGCCCCAAGTATTCTTTGTGGCAGTCTCACAGGAGAGAGAACATTTCTTGATATTCCAGTCACTGCTGTCTTGTCTGAGGGCAGACGGCTTGGAAAATGGAAACACCAGGTTTTCAACAATTTGATTCACTATGTTGTGGGCCAGGTTACTTTACATTTCTCTGGACCTTGGTTTTCTCATTTATAAAATGAAGATACTGTTGACTAGCATCTTCCTAAAGGGATATTGGCATTTAAAAGAGAACTAAGTGCCCCTTTCTAGAAACATGATATGCCAAAATTGTTTTATTATGGTTTCTTAACATCCTAACTTGCTTGTGTGGAGGGCTGGCTGGAAGCCACTTGCCATAAATGTACCTACTGTTTGCAGTGCGTGTTATTAAATTTACATGTCTGTTCTGTCCTGTTCTGCCCCTTTGTAAAATTACTGGCATTGAATATTGAGTTCATATGGTAGTGGCAGGGTTTTTTAAGAAATAAAAATTAATACAGATTTATCTCTTATGTGTAAGCTAGGTTTTTTTGTTGGTTTTTGTTGGTTGTTTTGTTTTGTTTTTGAGATGGAGTTTTACTCTTTTTGCCCAGGCTGGAGTGCAATGGCACAATCTCAGCTCATTGCAGCCTCCATCTCCTGGATTCAAGTGATTCTCCTGCCTTAGCCTCCCGAGTAGCTGGGATTACAGGCATGAGCCACCACGCCCAGTTAATTTTGTATTTTTAGTAGAGACAGGGTTTCACCATGTTGGTCAGGCTGGTCTTGAACTCCCAACCTCAGGTGATCTGCCCTCCTCAGCCTCCCAAAGTGCTGGGATTACAGGTGTGAGCCATCACATCTGGCCTAGGTTCTAAAATTAATACATAATGGGAAACCTTTCTATAATTAAAAAATACCACTGGGTAAGATTACCACTGTTAAGCTTAAATTTTCCACAATGTATGTTAAATGTGACCTATCAGAAACCAACATAATGTCATTTAGTAAATCCAACAGAGACAGTTTGGCATTAAGACAGATTATTCTTTCTTTTTTTTTTTTTTTTTNTTGTGTGTCAGACAAAGGCATTGGTTTGTTTATAGCAACCATGTTGTACAAAAAACACATACCCAAATTGTAGATTCACACTCCATGAAGTCAGGTGTTTATGCTATGAGAAACAGGCAGAAAAGAAACAGGCCAGCCAAAAGAATAGCAGATTCCTGCTCCTGAGATGGTGAACAGATTATTCGTACAATTAAATATTCTTGCTCTCTCTCTACCTCACCCCATCTCTGTCCTCCCTGTAGCCCTCCCCACTTTCTCTGGCTCTCTCTACTCTAATTTGTATTTATTTTTATGAGGCACATAGAGTTGAAGATGTCTATAATGCAAATCTACTTACAGTCCCTGGCAGTAAACAGAAAATTATGTAATCTAGTAAAAAGGAAAAATTGGCTTTTTTTTTTTTTCTACTTTTACATGAGCATGATCACCTAGGCTTAATTGTCTAAAATACATTTTCCAAGGTAGAGGTCAGCAAACTATCACCCACCTCCCATTTTACTGCCCATGGGCTAAGAATAGTTTTTACATTATTGTGGAGAAATCAAAAGGATATTTTGTGTCACATGAAAATCATAAAATTTAAATTTCGATGCCCATGAATTTTTTTGGAACACAGCTGCATTAGTTGATTTCGATATCTGAGACTCTTTTCATGCTGTAATAGCGGAGCTGAGTAGTTGCGACAGAGATGTATAGCCTACAGAGCCTAAAAGACACAATCTATCCCTTTACGGAAAAAGGCTGTGGACACCTAGAAAAGAACCTGAAGCCGAGAAATGGGACCAAAGGAAAGATTTTTCTTCCCCACCCCTCTTAAGACAAGGTCTCACTGTCACCCAGGATGTGGTACAGTGGCACAATCACAGCTCACTGCAGTCTTGACCTCCTGGGCTCAAACAGTCCTCCCACTTCAGCCTCATGAATAGCGGAGACTATAGCTGAGTACCACCATTACTGGCTGATTTTTAAATATTTTGTAGAGACGGTATTTCAGTGTTGCCCAGGCCGGTCTTGGACCCTTGGGCTCAAGAGATCCTCCAGTCTTGGCAGACCAAAGTGCTGGAATTACAGGCATATGCCATCCCACACCTGGCCTTTTTTTTTTTTTTTTTTTTTTTGAGACAGTGTCGCTCAGTCACCCAGGCTGGAGTACAGTGGCGTGATCATGGCTCACTGCAACCTCTGCCTCCCGAGCACAAGCAATCTTCCCACCTCAGCCTCCTGAGTATCTGGGACTACAGGCATTCACCACCACACCCTAATTTTTGAATTTTTTTTTGTAGAGACGGGGTTTTGCTGCATTGCCCCATCTCTACTAAAAATAAAAAATGAGCCAGTCGTGGTGGGCGCCTGTAATCCCAGCTACTCGAAAGGCTGAGGCAGGAGAGTCGCTTAAATCCGGGTAGCAGAGGTTGCGGTGAACCCAGGCTAGTCTCAACTCCTGGACCAAGCAGTCCACCTGCCTCAGCCTCCCAACATGCTGGGATTATGGGCATGAGCTACTTACTGTGCCAGGCCTTATTATTTTATGCTAAAGGAAGAAAAATGTTAGATATGATCTAGGATGTATATCAACTGTCAAGAGTGGCCAGGCGCAGTGGCTCATGCCTGTAATCCCAGCACTTTGGGAGGCTCAGACAGGAGGATCACTTGAGCCCAGAAGTTCAAGGTTACGGCGAATTACAATTGTGCTACTGCACTTCAGCCTGGGAAACAGCAAAAACCTGTCTCTAAAAACAAAACGGCTGGCTGCGGTGGCTCATGCCTATAATTTCAGCACTTTAGGAGGCTAAGGTGGGTGGATCACCGGAGGTCAGGAGTTTGAGACCAGCCTGGCCAACATGGCGAAACCCAGTCTCTACTAAAAATACAAAATTGGGCGCAGTGGCTCACGCCTGTAATCCCTGCACTTTGGGAGGCCGAGGCAGACAGATCACAAGGTCAGGAGTTCAAGACCAGCCTGGCCAACATGGCGAAACCCAGTCTCTTAAAAATACAAAATTGGGCGCAGTGGCTCACACCTGTAAACCCAGCACTTTGGGAGGCCAAGGCAGGTGGATCACGAGGTCAGGAGTTCCAGATCAGTCTGACCAACATGGTAAAACCCCATTTCTACTAAAAAAAAATACAAAAGTTAGCTGGGCATGGTGGTGCACGCCTGTAGTCCCAGCTACTCAGGAGGCTGAGGCAGGAGAATTGCTTGAGCCCAGGAGGCAGAGGTTGCAGTGAGCCTAGATTGCGCCACGGCATCCAGCCTGGCACCCGGTGAGGGAATAAGACTCTGTCTCAAAAAAAGAAAAACAAAAAGCCGGGTGTGGTGGCGGACACCTGTAATCCCAGCTACTCGGGAGGCTGAGGCAGGAGAATCCCTTTAACCTGGGTGGCAAAGGTTGCAGTGAGCCAAGATCGTGCCATTGCACTCCAGCCTGGGCAACAAGAGCAAGACTCCATCTCCAAAAATAAAAAAGAGAGAGAAGCCACCCCTTATCTTATTTTTGTATATCCTAAACTCAGGTACATTGCTGTGCTCAGAAACCCCCATGAAAATAAGAGGCTTTGGTTGCTAAGGCAGCAGACAGTCAACCAGAAGGCTGAACCACTTGTGAGGGCTATAGTCCTCCTCTGAAAAAGATTACTGTATTCTTCTAGGGACATAGCTGGGCAGATAGCATTGACAGCCACAGGACCCTACAGTGTATTATTTCTGTTTTCTCTGTGGTGATGGGAAAGGGAGGAGTGGTGGAATCTCTGCTGTTCTTGGCACACTGAGGGGTGTTTGTGCACATGTACGCTGTGTATTCCCTATTCTTGTTAGGTGTTAATTGTCCTGTCCCCCAGTGTGAGCGTAGGCCTACACACATGGCCACCAGTGGCTTCTGCTTCTGTCTGCTCTCATCCACAATAATCAAGCACTTCCTGAGAGCCACTGGATACTGGACCTGCAGGCTTTGCATCTTCATTTTTAACAGGTGCTCAGCAGAAGGGCTCCGAGCTCAACCACAGGAAAAGAGTGAACAAACTGTATATCTGGTTCTGGAAGATTTTTCTCTGGGTTTGAAGACAGTGATCCTACGTCTGTGTTATTAACCAACTCTTCCTGCCTTTGGAAGGTCACATAGTGTAAGAGCTGCCTAAGGGCGTGAAATAAACATCAGTATTGCTGTTGTCAGGTAGCAAGCCCTTGTTATCCAACCAGCAACTAGTGAGCGTCTATGAAGTGAGTCGCTGTGCTGGGTGAATGTGACGGGCATCGTTTCTGCCCTCAGGTCCTTCTGTGAGTGGAGAAAACACCTACGTAAACAGGGTTGCCATAAAAGTATGCTGCCATGGGCCAAGTACAAGGTGCAGTGGGAGGGGCATTTAACCCAGAAATGCCAACGACAGCCTTCCTGTAGGAAGTGACATAAAAGCAGACAAAGAAGGAGCTAGGCTTAGCCTCACCCTCCTATTTGCCTAAAGGCTGTTTGTTGTCTTCTCTGTTGTTTCATTGGTCTTGTGGGAATAAGAGCATTTGGAAAATTTTGAAGACCTTTCAGCCTTAATATTTTATGATTCCGTATGACTCACATGATAAAAATCATTTATTTTGTTCATTGCCCTTAGCACTATCTGCTATTATATCTTTTTTTTTTTTTTTTTTTTT